GAAGTTCTTATTACTCCTCGACTTTATCCTTCTATCTTGCCTCCTGGAAGGCGTGGTGTGCATGAGATTATGAGAGCGACATTCTGAATTATTGTTTTGTTTGTTTTATGGGTATGATTTTTGCCAGGGCGGCTTTGGTTATCAGCAGCAGCTTGTTCCTGGTATAAGGCCCGGTGGAGGTCCAATGCCGAATTTCTTTGTCCCAATGGTTCAGCAGGGTCAGCAAGGCCAGCGCCCTGGTGGCAGACGTGCAGGAGCTGTCCAGCAAAACCAGCAGCCTGTTCCAATGATGCAACAACAGGTTGGTGAATTTTTCTATCCTTCTTTTTTTTTCTTCCTCTGTTGGATTCCTCGTCTTACTTAACATGGCTGTTTTGGTTGGGTCATTGGATGATAGATGTTGCCTAGAGGAGGGCGTGTCTACCGCTATCCCCCAGGAAGAGGTATGCCTGATGTTCCTATGCCTGGTGTTGCTGGAGGCATGTTTTCTGTTCCATATGAAATGGGAGGCATGCCAATGCCATTGCGTGATGCGGCACATTCTCAACCCATCCCTATAGGTGCTCTGGCTTCTGCTCTGGCAAATGCTACTCCAGACCAACAGAGAACGGTAAGCATTTTCCACATTATAAAAGTAGGAGGGTTTGTATGTCAAATACTTCCTGCAAAGCATGTACAAAACACCTTAGATCTCTGTAATTATATTGTTGTCTTGAATTTTGAACATGTAGATGCTGGGGGAGAATCTGTACCCGCTCGTGGAACAGTTGGAGCCCGACAATGCAGCCAAGGTAACTGGAATGCTTCTGGAGATGGACCAGACTGAGGTTTTGCATTTACTCGAGTCCCCGGAGGCTTTGAAGGCGAAAGTAGCTGAGGCTATGGAGGTTTTGAGGAATGTAGCTGCAGCCCAGCAGCAGCAAGCTGGGAACACAGCTGATCAGCTAGCCTCTCTGTCGCTGACAGAGAACCTCGTGTCGTGAGCTCTGCTTGTGTTCATAAAGCTTCCTGGGATGATGCATGAACTGATGATACGTGTAGTAGTTGTGTGATACAATTGACTGTTTGTTTGTTTGCTTTTATCTCCCGAAGACTGCTGACATTTTCTTTGTTTTTTTTCAGTTTTTGGTTCGTATTTCTGCTTCTCTAGTGCTACTCTGTTTCCTTAGGAAGTTTTTTTTTCTTTCTTTTTCATCTTTTTTTGACATTAATCCAAGGTACTTCTACTATTGTCTGGTATATCTTATTGTGTCTCCTAAGTGGCATAAATGTTGTCGGGCCAAAGAAATTGGGACTTTATTTTCTCGTTGAGTTAGGTTGTGTTGTTAAAGTTTGTTTGATTCGGAAGAAGATGACCTTGCGATACTTGAATTCAAAATAGCCAAAATTATTACGTCTAACTAGGTGGTATTGAGGAAGAATTACGGGGCGTAAAACAAAAAAATATGCTGATTCGGGTTGGGTATACTATATTTAATTTATAACGGAACCCCCGCCCTTAACCCATTAACGAAAAAGAAAATTCTATATCTTACGGGCGGGATTCTATAGCTTTAGGAAGTCCATAAAGACTAAAGGTCTATGGGACCCACTAAAAGAATCTCTCGATATCAATTATAGACCAACGGACGTGAACAGAGGGTTTGAAAGAAAGCTTGATCCTACAGCTTAGACAGCTTGAATGACTCATTCCATGAGTTGTTTTTCTCTGCCTTCGTAAGTCAATCAAACTAGGTTGCTTGCTGCTTGCTTTTTGACTGGCTTTAAAGCCTATAAATCTCAATAGTAGGATGCTCAAGGCCATTCCATTTCGACAAAAGACCCACACCCAAGTTCCATAGCTTTGGGTCCGCTATCCCGATCATGATTTTCCTACCCCCAGAGGGAAAAGTCCTTCCCTTTTTGGCCGGTTGTGGGCGAGGAGGGATTCGAACCCCCAACACCGTGGTTCGTAGCCACGTGCTCTAATCCTCTGAGCTACAGGCCCCACCCCGTCTCCATTGGATCTGTTCCCGGGGGTACCCTAAAAAAAGGAACCTTTCCTCTCCCCAGCCATTTGCCATTTCGGGTTAATGGAATCTAAATACTTCCCTAAAATGATATTAGCTTTTAAGTGCAAAGTAGTTGGGGAAGTTGATGCCCTGTGATACGTCCGAGATTTGTGGTTCGACTAAAAGTCAATTTTATTCTCGTTCTTTTCATTTTGATTTTTGGTGTGGTTGATACATGTGTTTTATTTATTCACTTGACCTAATATTTTACTTGAATTTGATTTTTATTAATTAAATTTAATCTATCAAATTAATAATCATATGAAGAGTATTCAAATAAGTAGTTAAAACATTTATTAATGAGCAAAAAGTTAGATTCAAAATTATGTTGTTGAACTAAACCGATAATGTAAAAATAATTTAATAGATTAATAATAATAATAATAATAATAAATGAAAAAAAAAACAACTAAATTAAATTGAAACATACTAAAAACCTTGAAATTATGAAGCCAAATAATAATAATAATAATAATAATAATATGAAACTAAGCACAATTAATATTAATAAATTTGTTTAGTTAAATATATTCGTATAATATAATTATGTAAATAATTAAGTCACTAATTAACATTTCAATTTTTTATTTTTTGACTTTTGACAAATATGTTTAAAATGTATAATTTTTGAAGTAATTTGTTAAAGAAATCAAACGGTACGTTTTGAGTGTTTGGGATATTGGGTTTTGTATGTAATTTATTGATGAACTGATGGCATTTTTTCGTAACTCCAAAACCCTAAGAAACAAAGTCATATAAATACCTGCACCAGGTTTCGCCCCACGCCTGCACGATCTGATTACAATTTGGGGCCTTCACTCCGGTAGTCCTCTCAAGCCCTAGCAATGGCGGCTTCGATCGAATCGGTGCAGTGTTTCGGACGCAAGAAGACGGCAGTAGCCGTTACCTACTGCAAGCGCGGCAGAGGTTTGATCAAGATCAATGGCTGTCCAATCGAACTGGTTGAGCCAGAGATCTTGCGCTTTAAGGCCTATGAGCCCATCCTCCTCCTTGGACGTCACCGTTTCTCTGGTGTCGATATGCGCATCAGAGTGAAGGGTGGAGGTCACACCTCGCAGATCTACGCCATCCGACAGAGCATTGCCAAGGCTCTTGTTGCGTTCTATCAGAAATACGTGGACGAGCAGAGCAAGAAGGAGATTAAAGACATTCTCGTCAGGTATGATAGGACTTTGCTTGTTGCCGATCCTAGGCGCTGTGAGCCCAAGAAGTTTGGTGGTCGTGGTGCTCGTGCTAGGTTCCAGAAATCATATCGTTGATCGGAAAGTACTAGGCAACTATGAAGGAGAGTCGTTAATCGGTAACGATAATCTGTTTTGGTTTCTGAGTTCACATAGATTCGAAGACTTCAAATTATGGTTCAGTTTATGCTCTAGTTGAAGTAGTTGGAACTGTAAGACTTTTGTTTCCGTCGATATTACGATAATTGCAACCTAAATGCTTTTTGAAACATCTTAATTCTTCTGCCAATTATTTCTGTTTGTGTTAGAGTATCTTATGCGATAAATTTTCGTTGAATATGATCATCTAGCTAATGAACGTCTTGTTATTTGGTTGAAATCGTTGTTAAGACTTACGAGTGCCCTGAAATATTATGACTTGGGGTTTATTTCAATTGAACAATTTTCTTTGCTGAATCTTCATTCTTTCTGAGCGGTCGTTAAGCCATTTCTTCTTCACTTACTTGATTTCTATTTAGTTTAACTTCCATCATAGATAACGGAAATAAGATTCGAAGATGTTCGACTTATGGGTTATTTTATGCAGTTCAGGATTAAGAAGTTAAACTTGTTTAGTATGTAGTTTGTTTATTTTAGGATTTATGATAACTCATTCTTCCACCTGATACAAATAGTATAGTCGGTATGAAATTTTCTAGAACAGAATTAACTTGTTTCTTGCTCTTCCCTTTTCTCCATTTATATCATTTCAAGAGGTTTTAATTTTTGTTGCTTGTATTTAGTTAATTGTGGGCTTGGATTTTGTTAAACTGAGTATCTAGTTTAATAAGGAGGTTTAAGGTGTGTACCTTTTAGGATGAACAAAACCTACATGCTTAATGTGTGAGGCCTTTCAACTCCAAGCCTATTGGTCGCGACCCAAATATCCTTTCGATGTATTTTCTTTTGCAATTTGATAATTTTTTAGCCTACATTGATGATTGAAACAAGAATAATGCAAGTCTATTTTATTCTAGTTATGTTATGAAATTTTATGTTATTGGACTCTGTTTAACTGGTTACAAGGGGGAGTGTAGATTTTTGAATTGAGATAATTACGTGCATGAGACTTCTTAAGCCACGGCTAAACGTGTATGAGATTTTTTTTAGGTGGTTGAATCATAGGAATTTCTTGATACATGTGTTTTACTTGGAGCAATTCTACGTTGTTAGACATTTTTCTTTGGATACATGTGAGGAACAAAATATGTGTGCGGGAATAGTTTTGCTCTTAAGAAGTGAGGAGTAGGAGAATGTCGGGAGCTATCAGGTGTCCATCCGAATTAACATAGCTTCAAATAATTGAATTTTTCTTTGGACTTTTTTTGGCACGTGAGTCGGGTATACCAACTTTCCAAAATGTTGACTTGGGGAGAGAGAAGAAGCTGAGAGTTAAAGAGAAAAATAAGGAAAAACTTAATAATAGAATAACTTTTTGTGAGCAAGTTAATAATAAATTGACGGTATTTAGTATTTGGTGCTTACGTGGAATTTCAAAAATAGAAAAAGAAAAGAAATTAAGACTCCTATTAATATGTTTGCCTTGGGAACACAAGCTTCCGTTGAGAAAAAAAGGTGCTGAATGTAAGGTCTCAAATGTGGCGGCCCTCTACCAATTTGCAGAGCCCCCGTAGGAAGTCATCGATCTCTCCTCCTTCAGGCAACAATCTATGTAAGTCCTCCTTCGTCGTCCTGTGAACATATTTCAATGGCCACTGATAAGCAGAAAGAAGATGGGAAACCAAGGAAGAAATGCCATCGAAGAAACTTGCAGATTGAGGAATTCCCCACATTCACCAAATGGTTAGGGCCACGCGGTCGTTCAAGTTCCCACGACGATACCAGTTCCAAATCTTATAAGCGAGGTGTTCCCTATCCTCCTATTAGGAGGATACCTCGAGATTCGTCGAGGGGAGGTGGTGGGGTAGTTGCCTGTGATGTTCCCAAGGAAGACGGAGTGGCTATAGGCGAGTCGATATCTGCGCGAGGGGGTTGCTGCTGTTGGCAACGCTCCAAATCTACTCAGCGGGAGTGTGGACTCAACTTCCATTTCTCTCTGAGGAAGAGCAAGGTTGTTACAAATGTTTCAGAGGATGTCGCTGCTGGCGTTTCCGATGTTCGGGAGGAGCAGGTCGTGGAAGCGGGTGCTGTTATAAATAGGGAGGGGTGTCGTTGTAGATGTTCCCCAACGTTCCTTATCTGCGGGAGGAGGAAGGTGTCGCCCACCGGAGTTCCGTACTTTCCTGAAAAGAGGAGTGGCCGTCGAAATTCCAGATCTACTAGACGACGATGCTCACCGGTGGTTGACGCTCCAAATCTTCACAAAGAGGAGGGACCAGCAACTGACGGCCCTGGTGTGCTCAAGGAGGAAGTGGCTACTAGTTGTCCAGATTTGGTCAAGGAAGGAGAGGCCATCGCTGCTCCAGGTCCATGCAAGGAGGGGAGTGGATCTTGTTGTTCACAATGGAAATGTTTGCCGTCGTTTCCAATGTGTGGGAGGAAACTATCTGTCGTCGAGGAAGAGGCGACTATCGAGGAAGAGGTGAGTGTCGATGATCCAAATGGGCCGGAGGTTGAAGAAGTCGCTAATGGTCCAGAATTAGTGAAGGAAGGAGAGGCCACAGTTGCTCCAGCTCTGTGCAAGGAGGGGAGTGAATCCTGTTCACAATGGAAATGTTCGCAGTCGATTCCGATGTGCGAGAGGAAAGTGGCTACCGGCGAGGAAGAGTTAACTGTTGTCGATATTCCAAATTTGCTGGAGGTAGAAGTCGCTAATGGTCCAGAATTAGTGAAGGAAGGAGAGGCCACCGATGCTCCAGCTCCGTGCAAGAAGAGTGGATCCTGTTGTTCACAATGGAAATGTTTGCCGACGTTTCCAATGTGCGGGAGGAAAGTGGCTACCGGCAAGGAAGAGTTAACTGTCGTCGATGTTCCAAATTTGCTGGAGGTTGAAGAAGTCGCTAATGGTCCCGAATTAGTGAAGGAAGGAGAGGCCACCGATTCTCCAGGTCCGTGCAAGAAGAGGAGTGGATCCTGTTGTTCACAATGGAAATGTTTGCCGGCATTTCCGATGTGCGGGAGGAAAGTGGCTACCGGCAAGGAAGAGTTAACTGTCGTCGATGTTCCAAATTTGCTGGAGGTTGAAGAAGTCGCTAATGGTCCCGAATTAGTGAAGGAAGGAGAGGCCACCGATTCTCCAGGTCCGTGCAAGAAGAGGAGTGGATCCTGTTGTTCACAATGGAAATGTTTGCCGGCATTTCCGATGTGCGGGAGGAAAGTGGCTACCGGCAAGGAAGAGTTAACTGTTGTCGATGTTCCAAATTTGCTGGAGGTTGAAGAAGTCGCTAATGGTCCCGAATTAGTGAAGGAAGGAGAGGCCACCGATTCTCCAGGTCCGTGCAAGAAGAGGAGTGGATCCTGTTGTTCACAATGGAAATGTTTGCCGGCATTTCCGATGTGCGGGAGGAAAGTGGCTACCGGCAAGGAAGAGTTAACTGTCGACGATGTTCCAAATTTGCCGGAGGTTGAAGAAGTCGCTAATGGTCCAGGATTAGTTAAGGAAGGAGAGGCCACTGTTGCTCCAGATCCGTGCAAGAAGAGGAGTGGATCCTATTGTTCACGATGGAAATGTTTGCCGGCGTTTCCGATGTGCGGGAGGAAAGGGGCCACCGGCAAGGAAGAGTTGACTGTCGTCGACGTTCCAAATTCGCCGGAGGTAGAAGTAGTCGCTAATGGTCCAGAATTAGTTAAGGAAGGAGAGGCCACCGTTGCTCCAGGTCCGTGCAAGGAGGAGAGTGGAAACTGTTTTTCACAATGGAAATGTTTGCCGTCGTTTCCGATGTGCGGGAGGAAACTGTCTGTCGTTGAGGAAGAGGTGACTGTCGATGATCTAAATGTGCCGGAAGTCGCTAATCGTCCATATTTGGCCAAGGAAGGAGAGGCCACCGTTGGTCCTGATCCACGCAAGGAGGGGAGTGGTTGCTGTTCTCCACGACTGAAAGAAGTGTCGGAGCTTCAGATACGCAGTTCGAAAGTGGCTGCCGGCAAACAAGAGATGACCGTCGATGTTCCAAATGTGCCGGAGGTAGAAGAAGTCGCTAATGATGTTGTAAATAAGCAAGACGACATCTGCCCTGAGAAGCAGGAAGTGAAAGGTCTGCTGGAGTTTCAGATACGCAGTTCGAAAGTGGCAGCCTGCAAACAAGAGATGACCGTCCATGTTCCAAATGTGCCGGAGGTAGAAGAAGTCGCTAATGATATTGTAAAGAAGCAAGACATCTGCCCTGAGAAGAAGGAAGTGAAAGGTTTGCCGGAGTTTCAGGTACGCAGTTCAAAAGTGGCTGCCGGCAAACAAGAAATGACCGTCGATGTTCCAAATGTGCCGGAGGTAGAAGTAGTCGCTAATGATGTTGTAAATAAGCAAGACGACATCTGCCCTCAGAAGAAGGAAGTGGTCGGCGATCCAAATACCGGAGAGGCGGTGGCTTCCTGCGGTTCTTCTTCTAATCGTAACAAGGAGGAGGAGAAGATCAATGCCAGCGTTCCAGAATTGCACAAAAAAGGGAGTGGCTGCTGTTGGTTTAAATGGATGCCGGCATTCCTGATTTGCGGAAGTAAGGTGGTTTCCGACGTTCCAAATCCAAGCAGGGAGGAGAAAGTAGTCGCTGGTGATTCAGATATACAGAAGGAGGGAGTAGGCGCAGCGGCTGCGGCTGCTGCTGCCGATGCCGATGCCAATTGGGAAGTGCAATCCAAATCCGCTCGACAGGGAAGTTGTTGGCCATTCCAGTGCTGCACAATATGGTGGCCGTCCAAACTTCTGTGCACGGGGGGGATGGATGTCAATGCCTCAAATCATCAAGAGGAAGAACAAGAGGCACCTCTCGGCGATAACGAGGAGAAGGTTGTTGACGTTCTTACAGTCAAGCACAACGAGAAAGGAGCGGCTATGGTCGTTCCAGATCTTCACGAAGAGGACGGTACAGTCGCCGACGAGCAGGTGGCTGCCGTCGACATTCCGGTTCCCCGTAAGGAAGAGGAGGAGTCTGCCGGTGATACTCCAGATCTTATTCAGAAGGAAAAGAAGGTATCTTCCGGCAAGGAGGAGGAGGAAAATGTGGGCTCTGTGGTTTCAGATTCGGGCAAGGAGGAGGGTGGCTGCTGTTGTTGCTTAAAACATGGGGGAAAGGAGGATGGCTGCTCCCGCCGCGACCGCGACCGCGGCCGCCGTCAGAGTTCTAATTCTAGGGAAGGATGTTGGCCATTTCAGATCTGTGGGAAAGGGTGGTTAGGGCTACCAACATTTCTCATTTGCGGTAGGAGAAAAAGGTTGTCAGACAGTATTTCATCGGATGGTAATGGCGTTTCAGTTTCAGACATTAACGTGGTGGTGGCTGTCGCCGGCACTTCCAGCGTATTGGCTATCGCCGGTACTTCCGGCGGATTAGCTACCATCGATAGTTCTAAATCTATTCCTATGCCTGGGTGTGGTTGGTACTCCAAACCACCGCGGAGGCGGTCGGTGTCTATTGATAAGGAGGAAGGTGACAGTCGGTGTTCCAAATCTTCTAAGCGGAGGAGAGGGTGGTTCCGACGATCAGGAAGGAAAGAAAAAGAGGGAAAGGAAAGAAAAAGATAGAAAACAAATTCTTTTTTTTTTTTTTTTTTTTTTTTATATAAATTTTTTTGAAATGT